TAGAGTACTCTAGCAGTTCGATAATTATACCAGTCAAGGCATTTTAAAACATGCTATTCATCGAAATTAAAACATTATTTTCAAAAATAAGCAATCTTTGAAATAGAATAATTTCGTCAAAAATTATCGTTCCGTAATGGTTAAAAAAGAATTTTACACCATACCTTTACTTTTCATACCGGTACTTCAAAAACTGTCTTTCTGATATTTTATGAAGTTACAATACAATATTGTGAATGTTGATACATGAAAACTTAAAATTTTATTCGTAATTTTTGATGTTGCATGGTGCAATATAAAAATTATTCACAAATTCCGAAAGATTGATTCGTCTTTTATACATTATTTGTTTTTTCTTCGATTTCGGTACAATCATTGTTTTATTGAATGTTCAAGCAAGAAAATTCATTTTACATCAATGTCGATTAACTCGGAGAAAGAAAATAGTTTAGAATTCGAAAGGAAGGCAATTTTCAAGCCAAGATTTACTTTTTTGAATGCTATAAACTGCATCAGTGTATAAATTTTATTTCGCGATTGGGAACTTCGCAAGTTTCGTTAAAAATTTTGAAATTTGTTACACCTTTTTTATATTTATGTAATATCAGTTATATTGTTTTTTAAGTACCGGTCTGAAAAATACAAATTTAAAGCTTTAAAGTGCTTTTGTATGAATTTCGACACGATGATTATTTACAAATATCAAAAGAGGAAAATGCAACCAGCCTAAAGTTACTAGATAATAAGGCGTTAATAAATATGTATAAGCATTATAATGTATTAATTGCTAGCAAACAAACAAATGTATCGATCCTTTTCGGATCATTATAAATGTTAAATAACTATAAATGTTCGGTAACAGTAGGATTAAGTACAATGTCAATATAACTGACATAATATATTATCACGAAAGTAACTGATATTAAAACGTCCCTAAAAGTTTCGTTATTTTATATTATAATAAGTTTCCGTTGAATATGTATTTTGATTTCATTTTTATTTTAATTTTTGACTATTTTTATCTTGGCAAAACTCTTTTTGTGTTATATGCTGACGAATCGATTTTTCTAAATTAAAAAATTTTTTTGATGTGACTTCGTTGGTAAGTTAAAATATTTTATAAATTTGACATAGTTTTTCGATGTATGCTTGTCAACCTTATGTTATAATTATAGATATATTGGTCAGTATGCGATTTTCCTATCGTTTATTACCAATAGCATTTATTAAATGGAGAAATCGAGAAGTTAATATTTTATCAAATTAAACTACATGTACGGAATTTTTGAAGACGCTTGAAGATGACTCGAACCAAGAGTCGAAACTGGTTGTGTATTTTCAATTTTTTATTAAATCTATGTTATAAGCGTTAATATATATTGTTTCAATTGTAATTTAAGTTTTAGTTCGATGTATTTTTTTCAAAATTTATTATATATTTGACGTTTTAACCGCTTTATTATTTTCATTTTATTACTTGACTCTTATCGTCCTTTTTCTATACTTAATTATGTTAAAATAATTGACTTGATAATAGCGCAGGTACGCGAAAATGAACAAAAAAATTACAAAATAAAGTAAGGCGCTTTAAACGGGTGAAGCATAATACTCGTGGTGAAAAGAAATACAATTATAATCGAGCGTGCACGAGAACAAACAATATTGAAATGCTACGACGATAATCCCGCTTCGAATAGCGCGAGAGATCGATAGCCAAATTACATCAATTAATCAAAAACGCTATAACTTATAATTAATAATTAATATAATTATTAAGTTATTCTATCTCAGTTTGCCTATTTTTGCAGGGTGGAACAAGTGATCCTTTAATTTTGTTGAGAAGTGTATTTGAAATTCAACCGTATTCTAGTTCTTGATCTATTATACGTTTAAACTGTAACTATTGCATAAAAGTTATCATTGTGTGGGCGATTGCATTGCCTCAGATTTAAATTTCTTGGTAATCGTCATCGTTTAGAGATACACACAGACACACGAACACATATACTTGACATACGCAACAAAAGAAACAGCTAGACGCGAGCAAATATAGAGAGCCTTTAAATCTACAAGTTTTACAATTACAAAGTCTAAAGGCCTCTGTACACGGTCAGTAATACTGTCAGTATCAACGATATTGACAATATTATTGATTGTGTGTGGTTAATATTAATGGATTGACGTAGAATACTGACGATGATTTGGACTTAAATACATGCTTTTTCCTTAAGATCCATGTCGCCATAGATAATAATATACGTCAAATCACGTCAAACTGAAGTGAAATATTATCAATAATACCTGATCGTATAAGATTATAAAAACTAATGTATACTGTCAGTAATACTGATCAGTAATACTGACTCAGTATTATTGACCGTGTAGGGAGGCCTTTACAACATTTCTTGCGACCGTTTCTTTTTATCGGTTTAGCAATACGAGTCGAAAATAATAAGGAAGCAAGGCTAGAGGAATCTGAACTCGAGATGCACATAAATTATTTTTCCGTAATTCATATTTTTATTAAATCTGTATGTGGTTGTACAAGAGAAGCATAATTAACAGGAATATATTGTAATATAATTTCTTATTTTAAATATAACGACGACGACCGATATACATACACGCAAAATAATATTAACAGAAAATACGCGTGAAATTGAGCAAAGGCACAGTCGATCAGCTGATGCCGGTTTACACAGTCGCGTTCTAAGAATTCTCAACGTTATTCCGAGAATCAGTTACAGTCTAATCAGTCATACCTCGACCGAATAGAAACTTTATTTTCGATCAAGTGATTTGTAACCGAGCGATTTTTATTGAGCATTGTTTCTCTCGCACGCTTGTAAGTAAATTGTTTCTTCGCATCTCTGCGCGTTTTATTGTAATAAACGAATTATTTAATATTTTAATCTGTATTTACATCTTATTTGATTTGGTGACCTAACGTTATATACTTTAGCTATTATCCGCTTTCCTTTAATCTATTTTACATACATTGACGGAGTCTTTAGACTATAATTAAACTAAAAAGTGGAGCCTTTTAGATTAAAATTGTATATCACACACATTAGAGCATCTAACGCATCTAATTATCCAACGTCAGAGGTGTCATTCTAATTTTAAATTTCTCTTATTTTATAACAAATTCTAACTTTTTGATAAAGTTTTCTGTTACTTCCTTAACTTTTAGTAATAATTGTCAGTTTATCAAAATTTGACTATATTATTAAATTATTATTCCCTCTTATGATTTTAGATGGAAAAGTAAGAAAGTAAAAGTGTCTATATATTTAGAACGTGTAAACTACGGAACAAATTACAGTAAAGTGAATTCAAAATATATCCCTGCATGGTGAGAGTCACCTGAGTGAGAGTTGAACCTGAATCCTGAAAAGATGAACTACCAGGAAATAACGAGTAACAACATAAAAAAATGCGAAAACAAGGACCAAAATGATCACGAATGTCGTTTTGTAATCCCAACTACCATAAATATATGTAGGTGTGTATTTAATTGAGTAACAAAAGTTAGAGTAATTGTCTGTTTTTTCAATTTTAGTGCTTAAATTAATAGATAAAAAATGAAAAATATTGCAATGGTCATTTTGCAGCCAAGAAGCAAATGGAAATCGGCACGTAGAAGTTCAGTGCAATGGTAAACTATATAAATCTAATGAGATTATATATATTGATGATGAATCGTACAAATGCGAAATTTGTGATAAAGAGGTTACTGTTAAGTGTAAAATGCAAGTTCATGAGAAAACTCATAAACAGGAATAACCATATACTTATATAACTCACTCTCATTTGTACGCGAATATATCAATTTTTTCGTATGTTTCGTATGTTTCGTACTGTTAATTTTTAATTTTTTGTGATAACACATATATGAATGCTAATCGTATATATTATTATTCTATACACTATTTAGTCCAAATTTTATAATTAAAAAAAAATGTTTGGTTTTATCTTTATTTAAAGAATGTATGACACATTAACAATCTTCTTTAAATTGTGAATCATTAAAGAGAATAATAAAAATCGTAATGTATCTATAATTAATTAGGATGTCAAAAATACGCAAACGTGAGTAAATATTATAAAACCACGCTAGTAAACCACTTTTTACTTCTTACTTTTTGTTGGCACACATACATTAGTTGATAATTAATTCCGCGACGAAATATTACTAATCGGATTTTATTTTGGTTCATGTAATATAAAGACAAACTATATCACTGTATTAAAATATACAAAATACGTGTATTTAAAAAATAAAGTTGTTTAAAATGTATATTTTTAGTAAAAAAAAGATAAAGTTATGTTTAGTAATTATTATTTTAAATAACTTCTTTTGTGCTATTTCTGAATTAATATTTTAAATAATAATTTTTGCAATTTATTTTATATTTTTTATTTTAAATAAATCTCGTATCAATCAGAGATCGGTTGTATTTAAAATAATTTTATTAAAAATATGAATGCATTTTGAATTATAAAGAAATAAATCAGTTATTTTATATTCATTATTTAAAAAATCTTCTGACTTATTTCTTATTTAATATTTATTAACTGAATTTTTGGAATCTCTGAAGAATGACGCTTATATTTTCTCAGCAAATATCAGTTACATGTAACAATATTTTAATAATAATTATTACAATAAAATAACGATCGTAATATCGAAATTGGTCTTGATATTCTCTATCAATTATGATTACCATTAAAATATTATAAACTTAGAAATAAATATTTGTTTTATATTTCTCTGTTATATCTTATATTTTATCTTATCGATGCGATATTTCCTGCAGTAGTTTAAATCGACAAGTCGATGAAACCAGATGAAACCGTTTCTTGCGATCGTCGACAGATGTGGCGTGCTGCGCATCGGGCAAAGGCCAAAATCACCGACCGCCGATTTGCTTACGCACGCACGTTGCGTGTTTCAAAAGGATGTTCCAGCGATCCGTTGCGCGCGATAATCACTCGTGGTGACGGCCTGACGGGTAACGCGGAGTGTTTGCGATTTCTTTGACGAACGTGATAGCATTGCCGCGGATATAACCACGTGAATTTTCGTCCCATTAATAAGATATCGTAAAATATGCCGTCGCAAGTGAACGTAGTGCCAAAGGAAAAGCTCGAGACCCCGTCGAGTGGGATTAACGCCGTTCTGTTGGGACCACCCGGTAGCGGCAAGGGCACTCAGGTATTTTTTTTTGCGTCTATAAAAATTCACGCTTCATTGTTTTTTCCAGACGAACTACTTTGAACTACTTTTGTTCCTCTTTGATGTGATGTAATGCGTTTCACTTGTGATCTAATTGAGTGGATAAAATTAGATAGATCGTGCCGCTTGGTACCAATCTGCTCTGTCAGTTATTTATCTTAACGGTTGTCAATGTCAAAGACATTTGTCAATGTCAAAAATGCTGACATAAATTTCCTGTCCTCATTTATATTGTGCTAGTAGTTGAGATTAGAATTATGTTGTCGAGATATCTTGTTAAATATTTTTTAATTATAAATTACTTTTTAATTTTTAATCAAAATTGAGGGAAGATATTCCAAAGCTTGTTACTCAGAATACTGAAATTACAATATCATAAAGACACCGTTATGATCTTATTTGTTACTTATAAATAAATTTATGATCTTTTTAACTTTATTTATGTCAAGCTGATTTTACAGTGAATAGTTGAAAATCTTAATCTTGATTTTTTGGGATAAAGTTAGCTGTTGGTTAACTTTATCTCAATAAAACTTAGGACTACTAACTACTAACTCATTATACATGAAATCATGACAGCTTATGATATCATTATGATAAATATATAAACATATATATCTAGGTACGTAATGCTTAATTACAATTGTAAAATAATGATGTTAGATGATGTTATATGATTGTTTCAGGCTCCGCTATTCAAAGACAGATACTGTGTATGTCACCTATCCACAGGTGATATGCTGAGAGCTGAGGTCAGTTCTGGTTCTGCCCTCGGAGCTCAGATTAAAAAAGTAATGGACGAAGGCAAATTGGTCAGCGATAACTTGGTGGTTAGCATGATCGAGAACAATTTAGAGAAGCCTGAATGCAAACGTGGTTTTTTATTGGATGGCTTTCCAAGGAGTGTACCTCAAGCGGAGAAGGTAAGCCAGGGATAGTTAGTATGCTCTATCAAAAGAAATTCAATTGTTTAATCAATTGTGTTTAATAAACTTTTTATTGTACAGCTTGACGAAATGCTCAATAAGAGGAAAACGAAGCTTGACGCTGTGATTGAATTTGGTATTGAGGACAAATTATTGATCAGAAGAATCACAGGTAGACTAATACATCCGGCCAGTGGAAGATCTTACCACGAGGAGTTTGCTCCTCCCAAAATTCCCATGAAGGACGACGTAAGTAATAAGAAGTTTTAAGGGTCGACAGGAGTGACAGAAATATTTTTGTTATGCCTTTTTACAAAAAAATAGCTCTGTACGAGCCTTCAGGAGCCTTTTCTGATTACAAATATCACAATCAAAACATGACTCATGTTATATTTTAGCCATAATTTGGGAATAAAGGTAATATTTATGAGTGCAGATCAGTGCAGAGATCTAGATCAGTTATGCTCATTTTTCTTCTCAAAGAAATAATATTTTCTTATGAAACCTGTTGAGATTTCATTGTTATATTGCTGGGAAGGCTCGTACAGAGTCAGATTTGCAAATTAATTCTTGAAAATTTTTATTAAAATAAGATCATGTATACACCTCTCAACTGCACCATAGTACACATCGAGTCAGATAACAGAACAAATTTTTATTATGCCTTTTTTACAAAAAAATAGCTCTGTACGAGCCTTCAGGAGCCTTTCCTAATTATGAATATCATAATTAAAACGCGATCCATCCAGTATTTTAGCCGTAATTTGGGAATAAAAAATTCATCTTCGACTAGAGGTCTCTGGGTCACTCCTGTCGACCCTTAAGGCTAATGTTCTGTGCCTCTGTTTCTTGCTTTTAACCGCTTATTACTTAGTTTCTAAAGAAACTTGTCACTTTTTGTCTTTTATCCTGTTTCTTCATTTTCTATCACCTGAAATAAAAGCAGACGAGCTTTGGAAAAAACAAAAAACAATACATAACAAGAAACATGATTTTCAATTAAATAGTCGCGAAGAGAAAAAAGGCAAGAGATGAAAAACAAGGGACAGGAAGCAAAGTGCACATTAATTAGTTTTAGTAAAAAAAAATTATGAATATTTTATATGACACAACTTGGAAAAATGTTTTTTAGTCGATATAAATCGATACATTTGCACAGTGCTAATAAAAGATAAGCTAAACGACATACTGACCCTTATGCGTACTGATTTTGATAAATATATCTCTACTGGAGATAACATAACAGTATATTTTTGATGACAAATATATATGCAAAAATGAAATGATTGCATAATTAAATAAATTATGCAGTTCAATTAAAGTCTAGGACATTGAAATATAATCTTTATATCTTGATAGGTCACCGGGGAACCTTTGATCAAACGATCTGATGACAACGAGGAAGCTCTGAAAAAACGATTGGCTACATATCATACGCAAACTGCACCTCTCGTCGATTACTACGCTCTACAAGGGATCCATTACTACATTAATGCCGCCCAGTCTGCTGAAAAAGTCTTTAAGGATATCGACCAGATCTTTCTGAAATCCACCAAGAAGAAGGGCTTCTTCAGCAGATTTTTCTAGAACACTGCCAACTTTTAAAAATGTTCGTTCTTCTTAAGGATTGGTTTTTGAAAGAAACAGAGATAATTGTAAACATGTTAAAATAGCATTTCAAGAGCGTCTTCATTATGGTCTTCATATAATCTCAGTAACATGAACATTACGTTTACAAGGATCACTGCAAAAGATACGTTTCATGGCAATAAAATGAAGATATGTAGCAGTATTTTATAGGCAGAGACACCATATTCTAGATAGGTGCTACAATCATGGATCAAATGCACACGATCTGTTGATGATCTAAGAATGTAAAATATTATAACGCTTATTACATTAGCTCAGTAAAAATCCAGATACATTTGTACATAGTCGTTAAAGAGGATTCCAATTCGTTGTTATCATATTTTCATGTGATATTGTCTATTTTGTATTGGATTATCGAGATAAATTATTATATATATATCTCGATGTATGTTTTAATTTCTTCTATCGCCATAGTTTATCGGATTAAAATATGTGAAACAACAGCAAGGAACATGGCGACCATGCATTATTTACAAATGCGCACATTAAGTTTTGATATGTTATTTTTAATATTGAAACGCGATTGACCGATCCTTTAATTTTTATCTTCGAAAAAATTGAGTTTAGAATTTTCAAAGTACTAACGTTTTTTGCAATACAGTTGATAAAAATGAATCAATTATCTCAAAATAGAAAATTTTGAGTTAATGTGATTCTGGGATTGAGAGAGAATATGATAATAAAGTCTAACTGCCATAATTAATGGTAAACGTAAAATGCAAAAGTATGTAAATTTACGTTTCCATGAAGCTTCATCAATCACGTTTCTAAAAGCAACATTATCAAAATTATTGTAGAAACTAAAATCTATAATTTTATAAAAGAACATATTATGAAGTTGCTTCTCAGAAACATGATTTTAAGAGAATATGGACAAAGTGCAACGCAAATTAGAGACCTATTTTACATAGAAAAGTAAATAGATATATTTTTCCTGATACAATATGGTTGGCCCTATGTATTTACACGAATACTTACTCGAAATTTCAATATTTTCCAAAAGACAAATGTAAATCTGTATGTACAAGCTAGAATAAATCACATGTGAAATCTTCATATCTTAGTTATGCTGATAATAATGATTTTAATTGTAAATGTAACATATCCTTACATGCACAGATACTCAATTAATATTTAACTATTAAATTAAATTAAACTATTGAATTAAAATTTTTATTTTATAACTATTACATTTTAATTTTAACTTTTTTTTAGTGAGAGTTAAAGAAAATTAGAGTGATTTTCTTAATTGTATATTAATATGTATATTTCA